CTGCCGCGATCTGCTGAAGGAGAGTTCGCTCCGCTTTATGCAATACACCGAGGACTGGATTGTGGTCGAGTATTTCGCAGATCACGATAGTGATTATCTCGTAAGTGTGAATATCGGCGCGGCCATGATAAGGCCTCGACCACAATCACAATCTCGCCACACACACACCACACACATCGTTGGGCACTTGGCCATTGCCTTGGGGCCGTGCCCGCTCTGTTCTGTTATCGATTGCTGGCCTGCCAATCGGTGTGCAGTCTGCTTCAGCATTGCATGTGGACGGACAGACGGACCGACGGACGAACACTTTTTTGTTATTCAAATTGTACTTTGTTTTCCTTTAATGTGACTTACGCACGATCGCGCCAGTTGCGCTCTCTTATCAGCCATTGTAGTGACGAGTGTCTGCTTCTGCGTTGCGCTAATTTTGTGATTCTAGAGCGAGCAGGCACAAGTCACTTTGTTGTTGTTGCTGTTGTTATTGTGGTTGGGGGTATCGTGTGAACGATGGGGAAGTGACGCAGCCATAGGCGCCGAATTGCTTCAGTAATCAAATTGGATTATGATTCCTACGAAATGTTGTGACTAATTTTCAATCATGTTGTCAACTTGTAATCGGCATGAAGACGAATAAGTTCCGGAGTCAGACTGAATGTGAAACTATCTGAATTGGATAGGAAAACGTTCGGCATTGTATGAGAATTTACTTATTTTGTGGTAGTCTGAAATATTAAAATAAATTAATGCTAGAGGAACATAAAATAAATGCATGGTCTGGAAGTTAATTTTTCCCGAGTCTTAAGCTTGCACTTTTGAGTGTTATTTATTGGATACATTCGTTGCGAATGTTAAGGTTGCTCAAAAATGAATTGTGTTCCCCACAAAGTCGCTATATAATACCCTTTCAACTGACTTTAGACTTTAGTTTTCTTTATAGACGTGTTTTTATTTATTGAAAAAATGAATATAAACCATTTCCAGTCTTTCCTTGGCACTTAGAAGACTCTGTGCCGTCGAAAAGGTTACTCTGTCGCGTAGGCCCGTTAAATATTCTCACGACTCTCCCACCACACTCACACGATGTCTCATCCCCGTGCTCTGCGCCGTATTCGCGTGAGTGTTTTCATGTGCTAGTTATTTTCGTTTAATTGATCATTTGGCAATAACACGCCGATGCGCTTTGTCAGTGCCCGTTTCGCCGCCAATTCGTGCAATTAACTGTCCACCAACGACGCGTCGTGAACATTGTCGCCACTGCTGCCCCACAGACTGAGCATCGATTGTCAAGATTCAGTACTTTCGCAAATTAGAGCAACAGTACGTTCTGCAACTGAGGCATGCGACGCAAAAGGCGACGACAACTCCAAACGGAACCTACGCCAATGACGATGACGACGCCGGCGACGACGTCAATGGCGACATCGGCGATGCTGATAAGGTGGCCTGCACCCGTTGCCTGCTTATGAAACGACAACGCAACCACTTCGATTTGGTGGCTCTGTGCGATATGCCCGTTGATAAGTATGCCGGCGACAGTTGGATTGTTGAGGAGTACTTTGTTGATCACACCGACGATTATCTAGTGAGTGGCACGATCAATAAGTTGTTGCCTCTGATACTAGTGCCTGTCTTAGCACACTATAGTGTATGTCTGTGTCTGTGTGTGGAGAGTGTTGCATGCTTGTTGGTCGCTCTTTCGTGTTGGAATTTAAGAGCAAGCGTTTGAGTTGTCATTGCGCATGTGCCGAATGTTCTTTCTTCCGTCTGTGTTCTAGACTTGCGCGCGCAGCTGTTTCAACACCTTGCCACTACTGCCACTCTCCTGACAACAACACAAACTACATGCTCGTGCAAGAGGCAACAACTGTTTTTGCCATTTGCTCTAAACACTTTTGCCGCTGGCTGCTTCCGTGCTCGCCTCGACTAAAAACTACTCTTGCCGCCATTGGAAAATTATAAATACACGCGCTGCGCGCAGAATTTACTCAAAATGTTTTCGAACGAGAATTTTCACATTCTGAGTAACAGCGGCCACAGATTCGGATTCAGATTCAGAAACAGAAACAGAAGCAAAAGCAGATCTTCATTTGTCGGTCGTCGGTTGTGTGTGTTGTGCCATCCATTTTCGCGTCGTCGTCATCCTCGACGCCTCTTCTCGAACGTCGCGTACAAAAGTCTAACTGAACGGTAATCTCAAGTACCGTCCCACCGCTTCCTGATCTGCTCCGTTACATTTTCATCAGCCAAAGCAACAAATTTGTTTATGGACCTGCTGATATATACATATATCTATCTCTGTGTGTGTGTATGTGCGTATACGTGTGTTTAGTTTAGGGAAATTGTTTCAAATGTGTAAATGAAAGGAGCATAGTAGTAGGCCTATGTATAGATATGCTATATGTGCATATTAATACCACATATATACATGAGTAGTAGATATAGACACGCGCGATAGGCGGCTTTTCAGCCGCAGAGGGAACTGCTGAGAAAAACGCAACTGCATAAAAAACAATTGTTGAAAACATACGAGTATTGTGTGTGTGTGACATAATCAGAGCAGCGAAGAAACTGAAACAGAAACAGAAACGGCAAAAAGGAAAAGAAATGTTTAAGTGTTTTAAAAATAAAATTAAAAGCCAAACCATTATAGCAGCAACAAAGGGGCACCATCACCATCACCATCGCCGTCGCCATCAACTACAAAAGTGCCGAAAAACATCAAATGAAATACAAATTAAACGAGTGTGAAAAAGTGCGCAAATTTCAATGTTGCCCATTTCGGCGCTTAATTTATTTTAACACTAAAAAACCAAATCACACAGTTCACGAGTATAGACTGCAGAAAGCGATGAGGAGGGGCAATAATACAGTAAATAAAAGTGCAAAAGCAACATAGGAAAGAAAAAAGAAGATCGCCATCCCCAGCCCCAGCAGCAGATGTAAAAACTCAAATCGAGTCTGAACTTTGCTCTGCCAAGATTGCAATTAAAAAGATGCACAGATACAAATGTAACGCAAAGATAAAGATGCAGAGCAACGGCAACAGCGCGTCAGCGAATCAAAACAAAAATCAAAACTAACAAACAGCAACAACTATTCAAATAACAACAACAATTGGAGCACATAAATACACACCATTACACACATGTACAATTCTATGTATATACGCATGTAGTATATAGCTGTATGTACAGGCGCTGCCGATCGCCAGATTAATCATCAAGGCAGCCAGCCTAGGAGCAGGCTAGGAGCATTGGACACATCATGTTGAGCTTTTCCGCCTCACCAGCCCGCTCCACAGCGTCTTCTCTTGGCGTTTTTTCTAATTTTCCTCATCGGCTATTTTTGTAATGTTTGCATTTATTTATAGTGCCCACATTATTTCCACTAAAATATAGCGAAAAATCATGATACAAGCAGCAACAATAATCAAGATATAGTACATGTGCCACATCTAGTATACAATGGCCATATGAGAAAAACCAATTACGGTGGAAAAGTTTTTCGAATTTTCTGCCATAATAACAAAATGGCCAGCATGAACCCTTGGCGTGATTGTGCGTGTGTGTGTGTGTACACGTGTGTATGTGCAAATATATTTGACAAGCAGTTAGCAAAATGTGATACAGATACAGTAAAAGCTTCGGCAATAAACGCTTCACAAGCCAATAATACGCGTATTCATGGAGTGAGCGTCCTAAACAATGAACCTCCCTTGTTAGGTTTATCTTCATTTAGCCGTCCAATTAAAAAGTTGACCAATTATATAATTATCATATTATTAATTCCAAGTTCGAAGCTAGTTAGTAAACCTAGTGGCGAAAGAAAGAAAGTTAACAATTGAAGTCCGTTTTCAATCTCACGCTTGAAGAAACTATATAGCTATTAAATGGATCTGTTAACAATTTCCGCTTGAACCGATAATTTAAGTCTGTTTTAATCTCAAGTACAATTTCAAGTTGCACGGATAATTCAAGTCTGTTTTAATCTCAAGTACTACAAAAGTAGTAACCAAACTAAAATCTTTAACATTTCATAACATGTCATCAGTTTCCCGTTAAAGTAAAAATGTAAGTTAGTTTTCTTTAGTTTTGCGTTTTCTACTTATCTTGAAATCTGTTAAAGGATGCTAAAGAAAACCAGATGATAATCACTTGAGAATAATGTCCACTTCTAAAAATACAGTATGCGCCAACGCCACCCTTACATAGGTGTATTTATGAATCACCTTAGCAGCATTGAGTTTGATTTTTAGGAGGTTATCAGGGTCATAGATACAAGTGTATTGCAAGTGCCAAGGGTGTCGTCGAACTACGAGTATATCGTTCATTGCCAGAGCTTTCACTGTATCTATTGGTGGTAGCGTCAGTCGTAGCTCGTATTATGGCCGACTGCGCCAATTTGCGTGCGTTGTCTCTTGTTAAAAATAAAAACAGATTTTGAACAGAACACAAGAAAGCGAACGACCCACACGGAGGAAGGCAAACACATATATCACAGGCAGGGGCGTCACTCATTTGGGCACAAAGTCTTGGCACTCCAGCACCCAATGGTGCGCCCGACGCATAATCTGTACGTAAACCAAAGGTAGAGCTGATGATCAGATGTTGTCAGGTCGGGGATCCAACAGCGGGGGCATAAGAGAAAAATTGGCAGGCTGCTGCCGTGTTCTGCCTAGCGCCGTTGCCATCAATGAGCTCATGCTGTTTACGATTTGTAATTTGTATATATTGCTTTATATACCAAAACAAACACCCCGATATATACAACATGTACATGTACGAGTATAGAAGGTACAAGTCTTGTGGGTATAGATGGTGATATATATTGGATATATAAACCGAGCAAAGGAAACATCTATTGGCGTTGATCGAATAAGAAACCAATCTGATCCGAACAGCAGCGGCGTCAAATGCATTTGCCAAAATGCCAATGAGACATTGACATTGAGCATGTAGCTCTGCTGCGATGCGGCGATTACTTACGGGCGGGTTTTCTTTATAGCAAACGGCAGCAGCGACGCGAGTCGCGCAGAGCAAGTCAAACCAAACGCAATTCGGGGGACTCTTTAAAAACGAAAAACCCAAAAATCGTGAAAAATTAGATAACAAATTCTTAGAATTCAGACATACATTTTTTTAGTGGTTGCCCTGGTTCAAAAAAAAAAAAAAACTACCGAAATAGCAGTGCGTAGCGGGTACCAAAATGTCCAACCACGAACTGAGTGAACTAATAGCCTTGGGCTGTCCCGACCTCAGCACCAAGTCGGAATGCAATCAAATCGAGCTGACAATAAGCGGGGAGCGTCGACTGAGTATCAAACAAATGACGGCCACAGAGTTGGCCAATCTTCGTGCTGCTGCTGAGGCAGAAGCGAGACAGCGTGCTGAGGAAGAGGCGAGAAAATTAGCCGCTGCTGCTGCTGCCAAAGCTAAGGCTGAGGCCCAGGCACGAGCTGCTGCTGAAGAAGAGGCTCAGCGTCAGGCTGTGCTGGCTGCAGTGGAAAATGCTCGGCAGCGCAAGCTACAGGAAGACCAACAGAGGTTGGAACGACAGGAACATTTGCAAAGCCTTAAATCACCTACTCGGGGTGTATTGCCTGCGAATGCCGCGCCCCGTGAGCGTATTGTCTCATTGCCCAGCATTCTGGATGATGCAATGGAGATGCATTTGCTAAACGCAAGTGAAGCTGGGAACGCACGTAGTCCAAACTCCAAGGAATCTTCGTCTCCCGGCAGCTGCGAGCCTTCGAAAAGCAACTCGCATTTGGCCGACTCTATTGAGCTGCTACGCATGCAGCGACGTGCTCGTGAGGCGCGTTCCAAAAACCGGGAGCGTTCTATTTCGCCGCAGGCACGAGATCAACACGAGCGTAGTGCAGCTCCCGATCGTCTTCAAAGTTCTTGCAGCATGAGTAGCATCGATTCGGCCAGCATGAGTGCCAGTGCTTCACGACATGCCAGCAAGACAGCCAGTCGTCGGGGCAGCACTACTAGCGCGGTCCTTGAACCGCAAAATGACACGCTTCCACCGCAGTCTAAATTTCCGTTAACTAAGACGGTGTCTGCACCCAACATGAATCGACGTCGCAGCAGCCTAACTGCCCTTTTTCCGGGTCCCGCCCCATTAGTGGCACCCGAACCGACATTGCACACCAATCCGACGGCCCCACCGACGGAACCACCGCGCCAGACACGCGATCAAAACGGCTATCGTGAAATACCGAGTGGTAAGATGGTGCATCGAACCAAAACTCCACCGCCTGTGGGAGCCAATCTCGGTGTGTGTCTTAAGCGTGTATCGCCACCAAAAGGGTCGATCACAGTCAAGCCAAAAGAGGCTCCCATGCTGGGTGTAGTTTTACGGAAGGTGGAGCGCAAGACAGCGCCACAGAAAAGCATATTGGATGATGACAAGCCTCTCTATCACTTCTCAATCGTGCGCAGCGATCACAAGGAGCACAAGCCAGCGGTGCCAAAACCGAAACCGAAGCCAACACCGCCGGCTGTTAAGCCCAGTCCAGGTGGTATTCTGACAGGACCGCAAGTAATTCGCACCGTCAACCACCCAGCTGTAGCGAAGCCTCAGCGTCCACAGCCTGGGGTTCCCATAACCATAACGAAGATCGAGGGTGACAAGATCATTATTATTAAAAAGATAGTTGTACCGAAGAACAGTAAGATACCGGAACAGTATCTACAGGTTGGTGGCCATGGTGTTGTCCAGTTACGTCCAGTCCAGTTAACATTATTGTCAGGTAGTCGATCCTTTTCCTTGTGTTCTGTTCAAATTCAATTAGAATTTACCTCGATTTTTGTAATCGATGGTTGAGATATGTTTGTTACTCAATATTGAAATTTTTCAATAATGCCGCCGTTTGTGAAGTTAAAACACACGAATACCACACGCACACATACAATTCTTGAACATGATTTTAAGCAGGTCCTGCGCGCTTTCTTTGTACCGGGCAAGCTTAAATGAGTGAAGATGTCGACAAGGCCTCGGTCTCGATATCTGAAACGAACACGGCAACGCCGACAGCTTTGCCCGTGTCTCTAAAACAACTTGAAGAAACTGCGAACATGCAAAAATCAACACCGCCACCACCACCGCAACATTCGAGCGGCCAGCAATTCTTTCAGGTCGTGTCGCCACAATTCGCGTCCGTGCTCTCGTCTAGCATACCGGAAACCAAGTGTGCCGTCAGATCACCCATCTCGTCACCGCTCGCGTTGCGCAAGAATCGCCCACCGCTGCCAGGCAGTCCAAAATCTACGCCACCACTGCCTCGCAAACACCATCCACTGGCCTACAATGCGGCTACAGGGGTCATTACAAGTGGTTCAGCTGGCGTACCAGTGTTGCCGGCGCGCATGGCTACTATAGCCTCTAGTCCTGTATCGAGCATCTCGCTGTCGTCCTCCAGCTCGCCGTCAGCCTCACCCCCGCCGCCTGTGCCTTGCCGCGCACCCAAAAACTCGATCTCAAGCAGTAGTAATGCATCCAAGGAGGCGATCCATAATGTTGCTTCTAAGCCAGCAGCTTCGAACGAGATCGACCTTGACAAGATCATACAACAACAACAGCAACTGCAGGAGAAAACGGCGGCCGTAACAAACAGTGCGAAATTGGACGCGAACTTCTACGATGCGGAAATTGAGATGATGAACATGTATCTAAAGAGCTTGCCCGACTACAGTGAAATAGATCGTAAGCTGCACAAGGAGTTTCAGGAATGCGAAGATCTTCTGAAGCGGCAACAGCAACAGCCGTTGTCAAAGTCCAATTCGCAACAGTGCATGACGCCGCAGACGTCAGGTCTGCAACATCATGTAGGTCACCCGAAGATAAGCGGAACTCTCGGTGGTCTCGGTCTGACCAAATCCTCCTCGATTCATTTTGCGCCCGTTGCTAGCGGTGTCAGCGCCTACAACAATCAAGGGAATCGAGGGCCGCGTCTTGCTTACCCCTCGATTTTTTCCCAGCCAGGCAACGACACGCCTAAGCTTCAGCGCAGCATTTCGAGCAATAATATGCCAATGCATCAACAGCAGCAACAACATCCATTCATGCCGCTGCATTCTAGTGTCAAGCTGCCCCCTCAAGAACTGAAGAACAACGGCCTAAATGGATCAAATCTCTCACTTAATAAGCAGCTAATGAATGAATTCTGGAGCGAAAATCTGACCAGCTCACAAAAGCGTCAGACCCCGAAGCGTACGTTCTGGAACTATGAGAAAATATGTGGTGCACAATTAGGCGATGCTGGTCAACCCTTTAAAGTGGATGCCAAGACGGCGAAGAAGTTGGCCATTTTCGACCCCACAGTAGCCGAAGCAGCTCAAAAGGAGCTTCAAAAGCTATCGCAGCCGCATCCTCATAAACTGCAAAAGAACGCTTCATTGTCACATCTAGATCTCAAGGTCCGGCAGGCCGTGACCAAGGACGATCTCTATAAACTAATCTGCAATGAGCAATCTCCAACGACGCCTACAGCTGCAAACTTTATTAGCAAAGTGCCCGTTAAGTTACCGAACACTACAGCGCCGGCGTCGAACCCGCAGCTTCTGAACAAAAGCGTTTCAATGACGCACGTACCACAGTTGGGTCCAAACGCCTTACCCGGCTCAGGCACCAACAACCTCGTCCGCACCTCTAGTCGCACGCACATACCGTGTTATATGAAACATTTGCCTGCTCTCAGTCGCAGCACGTCCAACTCCGCCATTCTCCTACCCACATCTACTACTACGCCGTCGCAGGTACTCCATCAGCCTCTGCCGCAACCCCGTAAGGAGCAGCAGCAACAACCCCTTAAGGTCAATGACGTAAAGCCAGTCAAGCAACAGCCTCAGCCCATGGCCAAGCAGAGTGGCGTGCACAAGAGTTCCTCCAGCTCGTGCGTACCCTCGCCTCGCTGTGCTGCACTCTTTCGACGTCCCACAGAGCCGGCGCTGTCTGTATCCACTAGCAAGGCCAAGGAAGTTCCCCCACCACAAGTGCCAGATGTGACGCCGCTTTCAGAGTCGGCCACCGACTCATCCTCTCTGGACCGCAAGTCTGAGAAGAGCAATAGCACGATCAGCACAAGCAGCTTCACAGTAACTAACTGCTGCACCACCCATCTACCGCAGCTTTCGAAGTTCACCTCCTCGTTTCACATCCCCTCGAGCAGTTCAGGAGCCTCCACGTGTGCCACTGCGACCGTCAACAGCACGCCCACACCATCCACAGCGGCGACAACTGCGCCAGCGACGACAACAGTGGCCACAACGACGTCACAGCAACAGCAACAACCGGGAAAGAAGAACAGCACAGCAACTTTTGACAGCAAGGCGCAACAAAGCCAAAGCACGGCAGCTGCCAACTGCGAGACGACGGCTGGGACAAAGCGCCAGAAAGACGTCGATAACAAGCTAGAAAAATGTCTTAACGACATGCTAAAGTTGAAAAGCAACAGCAGCAACAACAACAACAACAATAACAACAGTGCGGCCATGTCGCAGTCCCTGACAGCGGGTGAACACAAAGAGCTGGCAGCACACGATGCTGGCGCCAACAGCGCAGTCGGCACAACGTTGGCAGCCAAATATGGCAACGAGTCGCAGATACCCGTGCCAGTGCAGCTCTACGATCCGCAGAAGTCGCTGCAGCAGCAGCAACAGCAAAAGTGCAACTATCCCATTGGAAAGTCGAACTCTACGTCCCAGCTGCCCATGGGCTATCAGCGATTGCTGCAACAGCAGCAGCAGCAACAGCAACTTCTTCAGCAACAGCAACAGCAGCAGCAGCAACAACAACAGCAAGCCCAACACCACTATCCGCAGCACAAACGTCCATTTTTGAACTGGAACTCATTCGCCTGCTCTGCCATGAACGGCGCCACAGATCCGTTTATGCAGCATCAGCAACAGCCGCCAAACAAGCTGCAACAATCATACTCCTCATCGCATTTGGCCAAGCAGACGCCAAAAGCGACCGGGCTGTCCATGTTCCTGCAAAAGAGTACCAACAAGGAGAACAAATTCGGACAACCGCCGCAGCCGCAACCCGGACATATTCTGCCGACCCTAGGCATGGCCCCACAAATGTACGGCTATGCAAAGGTCAATTATCCGCCGCAGCAACGCTCTGGCGCCCCACTCACGCACTCCGCATCGTTTAGTGCGGCCCAGAGACCCTCCACGCTTCTGCAACAACAGCAGCCACCGCCCCACCTGGCTCTCGGCATGATGAGTCGCAATTACTACAATCTGCCCAAGCAGCAACCACAACAGCAGCCATTTGCGCCGCCGGAGCATGAACGGAAACCGCTGCAAACTTTCGATCCGTACTTGTATCCCAAGCCGCCCAGCCAGCAAGTGCACATGGGGGCTAATGTGGTCAAGTCGCCGTACCAGCCGCAACATCCGCAGCAGCAACATCACCCGCCATATGTGCATCCACATCCGCATGCGCAGTTCGTGAATGCCGTTGCCTCCGCGGCTGTGGGAGTGGGAGTGGGAACTGGAGCTGTCGGCGGCAACGCCGCGGGTGCGCTTCAATACGATCCGAACACAAATACGCAATTGTTTTATGCGCCGCCGCCTCAGACGCAGCAGTCGTTGGGTCTGCAACCGCAACCGCAGCAGCAACAACAACAACACCAACTACAACAAAGCAATTCTGTCATATACAATCACTCAACGCAACAGCAACAACAACAACAGCAGCAGCATAATGAAATGTCCAAATCCGCAATTGCCATGCATTTCATCGAGGTAGATTCTAAAAACGAGTCCCAACTGATTCGCATTGTTGTGTTCGTTTCTAAATGTTTTTTGTATTGCGTGTTGTGTGTTTCTTGGGCATGGAATTGCTTGCATCCTGAATGTGCTTACTAATACGCCTTCTTCTCGCATTGAAAATAGTTCGCTGACTCATCAAGCAAACAAAAAAAAAAGTAGTACAAGAAATAATGTTGCAGTCGAGCAATTCCGAAGACACCCTGTAACGACAAAAGAAAAACTTCCACCGATTCTGATCGGTCTTAACTTTTCTTGGGAAAAGCAATTGGAATGAATTGCATATAAAGCTTTGAGATTATGGATAGTATTGACCATTCTGTTTTACACGGTCTTTTTTTTACACGATTTTGATATAACACGGCTTGACAATTAAAAATTGCATATATACTTGTATTTCTTTAGAGATAAGGAACCAATCACCGTGTAAAAACAGAATTAGGTGTAGAACACAAACACGTTAACAGGTTATGGGACTTTTATATCGAGTTGTTTCGTCATGCCCGGATATGCTTTGTTCTGTCTATATCGAATTAACTTTTTAAGCCTTCGGGTACAGGGTATTACAAAAGGCGCACGCCGACTCCAAAGACTCATTCCGAATCTTTGCAACATGAGTCTAACGGTCCGTACACTCTCTCTGTCCCTCTCTTTCGCTCTCGAAGTCTAGATGGACGTGGGGGCCAAGTAATTTTTGTTGCTGTATGCGTACTTCCTGTGTGTGTCGAGCATAAACGCTTCAAGAATAAGACCCTCAAACGTCAAAGCTGCTGCCACACTTGGCCCTCTCCTCACTCCCACCACCGGCGCAGCACCGTCTTATGTCGATAAGTCTTGCACTTGGCGCTGTCAGCGCCGCCGTTGGCGTTGACGTCGACGTCGGCGTTGCCAGCACAACGTTGCACAATCGACAAAAATTCAATGTCAATTTTGCGCCTCTATAAATATATGCGCGTTTGGCCACTTGATGTGATGTAGCTACATACATACATACTTGTACTTACATTTTCCATTGTTTACTTTATGTTTTTTTGTTTTTTCTGTTCGCCTGCCGTGAGCCAAGAAGCAACATAAACAGCAATAACCATAGCCGAGCTATTAAATATTGTTTTGTTTAAGAAATTACTAAACTTTTATTGAATGTGGTTTTAATAACTTAAGGAAAACAAAAACGATGCTAAATACACTCGCTGGCCAAATAAAATTGGCTAGTTGCTGGTCTAAAAATAATAGCAATCGCAAGAAACGAGCAAATGCTACAACCACACCGTAGGCGGAAAAAAAAGAGAGAGATCGAGATTGCGCTTTTCTCTCCTTAGAATTTTCAAAACATTAACACGAAGCACGAACAAGCTTAAGACGAAGCTAAAATACTCTTTCCCAAATAAACAAACGATATAATGAACCGAAGTATATTTACTTGTACAATCCGACATCGACAGCAATTTTTTGAGTCTTTGAATTTCAATTCAGCAAGCCATTTCTTTATAAATCCAAGAAGATAAACAGCACAAGTGTCTGTTTAAACTGTTACTGCGCCAAGTTTTGCTCAGATACGCAAATACCCTTTCGGAACTTTTTGTAAAGGTGACTCACAGACAAAACAGAATTGTTTCCTATTGTTTCCAATATTTTTAGAATTTAATCAGCCCAGCCCAGATTTAGGGAAAATTAAAGCAACCAACTAGAGAACGAGTTTCCATTCCATTCCAAAGATATCGTAGCATGGTAGGAAATACTGGAACTGACAATATTACTTCGAAGAAGTATTCAATGTGGAAGGTTTTCTATATTGTAGCTATCTGTATAAATCGGTTTCTTATACCGAATGCCTATACTCTGGCCTATTGGCGCCCACACTTCCGTATTTGTAACAAAGAGTTCATTTCTGGGAAAGAGTATTATTATTATTATGTACGTGTATTACGTTCCTGCCGCAGCAAACAATAATAGACAATAGCCACCACAGCACAGCACAGCTCAGAAGCCGCAGTCGCAGCCGCAGAGTGGCAGCATCGAGGGGGCAACCGATTGTAGCGTCATTGAGCAGCAGCTCTCCCGCAAACATCGGCAGTGCGGCCTGTTTCTGATCGCTGCTCCGTGTTGAGAGTGCGCGTGTGTGTTTAGTGTACTCTGATGATCTCTGGTCTGGGCCGTGTCTGCCTGCCCGTACCCGTACCCGTGCCTGTGCCTGTGCCCTCTGCTGTTGAGCACACACTCGTCGGCTACTTTGCGCTGTCGTCTACCGCAGACGCCTTCGTCTTCATCTTCTGCGGCAAACGTTGCGATATTTCCATTTTTATAATTAGTATTTCTAGCGTGCGCTTTCGTAAATGTTGCGGTTATTTCGGCTTGTTGTGTCTCAATAAATGCCATAACCATTGGCCAGATTGTTGTGTATAAAAGGAGTCGAGAACGGCTCGCGCTCGAATTGAATGCCAAATGTTTCAAAGTGCGTGAAGTTTTGGAAGCTGGCAAATGGAGGAGCAACATGCCACAATTGAAAATCGACCGAGTTGAAATTGCATTTGAATTGAGATTGAAATAAAATGGAACTGAATTGAATTGCGATTGCGATTGCAGAATGCAGATACTGGCATAGGAAGATTTGCAATTGCAATTGACTTCGTGGGGCTGCTCTTCGTCGCAATTCGCGCGCTGTTTCTGTTGTGTGGGTCTATTTCTGTCGAAGCTGCCAAATATTTTACAATTTCAATTATTTTTACACATAATACGCTCTCTATAACATATATTATATATTATACAAGTATATGCAAACGCCCAATGCAGAACAATATCTACATATGTATACTTGTATAGCAGGTACAGAACAACCACAACAACTACAACAACAACAACAACAACGATAACAAAACTACAAGCAGGAATTGTTCAACTCATGAAATAGACCACCAAGCCACAAATTGCCAGTCAGCTAGTCAGCCAGTCAACCAACAACAGCGACAACGACAACGACATTGTCGTCATAGCCGCCACAGACCCACGCGAAAAAAATGGCAACATTTTTGAATCGTTTTCATCGCGAGAAAAGCGAAAAGATCTTGCCAAATAATACAAGTAGTAGTGAAAACAGCAAGAAAACAGCTGCTGCTGCTGCTGCCGATGCTGCCTCTGCCGACTCTGTTGCTACTGCTGCAGCAGAGGCGGTAACAGCAGCGCCAACAGCGCAGCCGCGACAACAGCGACGTTACATGCGAAGCGCGACTGCAGCCAGCGTCACGCAACTGCTCTCTGAGAGCTGTAACAGTCTGTTGCAGCGTTTTCGACGCAATCCGAGCGAACGACCTGATAATAAACAGCAACAACAACAACAGCAGCAGCAGCAACGCAATCGGTAATCGATGCAGAAAAAATCTGCACAAGATTTATAATTTATTTTTAATTTTTTTTTATTCCGCTTTTCGTCAATTGAAAAACTCGGTCAAAATGTAGCGCTCATCAAATAGCGGCGCGCCTTTAATTTGCATTTATTTTTTGCTTAATTAAAGGAAAGGAAAGTGGCCAGCGAGTAAATTGGCTTTTTAGTTGCAGCCAGAAAGCGCAGCCACGCGCTGCTTCGCTCCGCTAGCTCCTTTCTGTGTTTTGTTTGTCGCCGTCGCAGTCATAGTAGCCGTCCGTCGTCGTCCGTCCGCGCAGACTTCGTTTCTCATTTCGCTAGCCGCGTGCCGCGACCGGGCCAATTATGTAAACACCACTGCAGATACATTGTAGTGCAGGGATTAATACAAAAACGCGTTAGCCCAGCCCCCTACTGACCATTGTGAAAAGTGTGGAAAATTGCAAAACTATTCCAAGTGAACTTTGATTCGAACACTTGACGACTTGACGAGTGCTGCTTTTGCTTTTTTATTTGCTACACATTTGCGCAAATAGCTTTGGTTATTGCGCTCATAAATCATGTGTGGTGCATGAGTATCAAAATTACTTCAATGGAATACACATTTCTTTATGGCCTTCAGAGAAATTGTTGATCATATCAAGTTTTGCTTTTTGTCCGTTCAAGAAACTGAACTATTGTAACCCTTTCAATTCCAATTCAATTTGCTAATTAACGTATTAAAAGATTCCCATTCCTCAATTATAGTTATTTAACTAAACTATGTACTTATATGAAGTACCACAGTTTCGGATTGGGCTGTTAAGAAAGGGCTTCAGAAAGTCTGCCACTCGCTTTTATAAATAAATATATGTATATACTGAGGGACTTCTTTCCAATCATATAATTTGAGAAACCCGAATTAATGCCCACATAAAGCTGCTTTGGTGTTTTAAGTTCCTGCTTACCATAACTAGACCTTCATGGGAACTTCATGAATAAAATGGAGAACGCTCGAAATATACAACTTTCGTTCACTGTGCATAGAGTATTCCACAGTCAATGGATTCATTTCCTATTCATATGTGCCTTTGCGTATGTTGTTGTTATATCAGGTATGGCTATAGCTTTTCTTTTGTTGGACATTTTTTTCATTAGAAACTTTTGATCGAAATGCTGCGATGATGCTCTCGAAAAGCAACGCAAAGCAGAAGGCAGAAGCTTTGAGAGCTTTCAGAATTTATTTTTGCGCCACGCACTCGCCTATTTGCCAGTTTGTCTGCTTCATCGACATTTTGTCTGTCTTCCTTTTCAAACTTTTCCATTTCTTGCTTTCGACGTTCCGAAATGGACTCTCTAGAGAGCCATTTTCAAACGCTTCTACAATGCAGCAGCCCCGTTGATATTTTCCTCTCAGTTTTTCATTCTTCTTGTGCGTTGCTCGTTTAATGCAACTTCCTTTTCATTAATTTTCATTAATACGCATACAAAACGTTGTTGTTGGACGTTCAAAAATACAAAATACAGCGTAGTTGTTTGGTCCGCTTTGTTCATAGCTTCGCCTGCTTCGACGGGTCTTCAAGGCTGTTCCTCCAAGAAAAGCGATTTATGACTGCAAATAACTGGCGATCGTTTCCCTGTTTTGTAAATTGTCGGAAATGAATTTTTACAATAATGCAAAATGCAATATAATTGGTCGTGTGTTTTTCGTGCGCCTTCAAATGCACACAAAAGAAAAAGCTCCCCTCTATAGATCGCCCACCCACTCTCTACACATGTGCGCGCTCTCCCTTTCTCTCTCTCTCTCTCTCTCTCTCTCCCTCTGTCGGTCACTTTCCATCTCAGTTGCGCTCGTTGCGCTTGTGTGGAAAGTGCGCAATAATTTCACACTTTTCACAAAAATAAAAAAAGATTCTTCAATATTTTCCGTGCTTCTTCGTTGTCGTATGGTTCTTGAAAAGATTTTCCCTCAGTTAATTTTTGGTACGTGTCGTGGCAGCGCGTTCGTCGCGAGGCGCGTGGAAAACCGAAACCGAAGGCGAGACTTCGTCGCAATCGATATGTTAATCGCGTAGAAAATCCTCTGCAAAGAATCGTTACTAGCATTTTCCCCTCTTATAGTGCAGCGCCCCTAATTGAGGAGAGCAGTGAAAATCGTAAAAGCCCTGAGCATAGCAATCGGGAAGAATCCAAGACTCCAACGAATGACAGCAACAACAACAATAATAAGAAGAGAAGCAAAGATAAGAGCAGGCGCAGACGCAGCTCGGAAAAGTCCTCCAACTCCAACCGAAGAAGTTATCAGAACGCTGCCGGCGGCGGCAGCGAAGAGCAAGACGCTATGAGCGATCGGCACCGACGTTACTATGGTGGTGGGGGTCTAGGCACCGCCGGCCTCGGCTACCAACCCAGCACAGGTCGCTATCAACGCAGCACAACAACTGCCACAGGATCAACAGCGCTGGATCGCCTCCGCTCGCACCTCAGCCCTGTGGGCGCCTACTATAAGCCCCTGCTGCGCGGCCTGGGCGGAGGCAGCAGCAGAACGGCTGTGGCAACCGACGATGTTAGTATTCCACGCTAGAAACCCTTGGAGACGACAAACCAATGAGCAAACCCATGAGTCACGCAAACATATTTTGGAAAGAATTTCAAAACTGCTGGGCATGAAGTTCGTTAACTGTTCGCACCTGTGCTGTGCATTCATTATAGGTGCTCTGACTCATGCACAAGTCACTGCCCCAGATCTGTCAGAACATGGTTGGCAATTCCGGCTGGCATAGGCAGGGAGACATAAGAGACAGTGCCCAATGGGGCTTCACTAGTAAGGTGGGCAGCCCAACTTTGCAAGCACATATAGGCGCAGGCCTTATGCTATGTACCGAGGTGTTTTATATACATATACACTTTGATTTTCATTTCTATATGTACTTCTCTACTTGTATATCTTGTGCGTTTACGCCGCCAAATTTATTTTCGAATCCGGCTCTCTTGTGCATATAAAAAGATATTCACAATTTTACGATTTCACGATTCTTTTCGATGTTGTATTTTATATATAAACTTTGAAGGTCGGCGGCACACTAGTGGACTTTTGTTTAGATTGTGTGTGGCTGTGATGCCCACCTAGGAGGCCAGCTAGTTAGTCAGCAGTCTGGTCGGAGAGAAAGCAACTTTCAGTGAAAACGCCTAAATTGTGGGGGAAGCCCGAGTCGCGACCCAAGCTGTAATTTGTAATTGCCAAAAAAAAGAAACTTAAATGGGTAAATGGGTTGTTGGTGGTTAGATTAGCTCTGGAGGCGGAGCAGGCCATGCGTAAAACTGCGTGCTCCACACTTTTCCAAAGCTGTTGGGTCGCTGTTGGATCTGTCGTTTCCATTGGTTTCACACGAGCGCAACGCTTAAAAGCACTTTCCTCTTTTCTTCAAATGAACGACTGGCTGACTGACTGTCCATGTATGTTTGTCTGTTTTCTCTTTGTGACGCACAGCGTCGCGATTTCCTCTTGGACAAAGATAAAACGCCCACATCATCGGCAGCGGGGTCGGGGTCCGGCGGCAAACAGTCAGCTATTTCGCGCCTGGAGAACAAGTATTCAGATATTTTGGAACGAACCGCAGGTAGGCGTAATCGTCATGGAGAGGATCGTGACAAGACTCTGGAACCGGACGACTATGGTCCCGGAGGAGGAGGCCTTCTGCGCTCCGCCACATCTCATCAGCTTGGCAAGTCAAAGCTGTCGTCCAGCTCCTTCACCGCCTCAGATCGAAAAGAGCGCACACCCTACCGTCTCCGCAGCCAACGCCAGCGCTACATGGGCGACTCGAATGACAGTGGTTATCTGACCAGCGGCACGCGACTACTGGACGAAAACTATCCAGTGGACTACACCGGCCGGTATCCCCAAAGAGAGCACGAAGCACTGCGCGCTGGCGGTGCCGCCGGCTATCCCTCAAGTCGCTATGGCGGTGTCGGAGGCTACAGTCGCCGTGCTGCAGATGCAGAAAATGGTGCCACCAGCTCCAATCGTACGCCCCGTAGCTATGGACGCAACAAGACCATGGAGAGTCTGTTGGCCGCCGACATAATGGACGGGGGCGGACGTACTGCAGTTGAGGCGGCCGAACCATCGCAGAGCTCGCGCAGCCGCTTTGCACACAGACGCAGAGACCAGCCCGCGCCGAGTACGGAGCTAACAGCCGAGGAGCGCGAGATTCTGGCTGATGATCGCAGTTCAGAAGACAATGCTGCCATTTTGTTGCTCCTGCGAGAGGATAATCAATACCTGGAGGCCAAGAAGTTTGAGGAGCGCATGCGCAAGCGACGAGAATTGAAGGAACGTGTGAAGCGCATGGAGGCGCAGGCAGCAGAAGCGGAGGCAGAGGCCAAAAGGAAGACTGAAGCAGCAGCGGTGGCGGCGACGGCAGCAGCAGCAGCGGCCGCTGAGCAAGCAGAAAAGAAAGTAGCGCTAACGGACGAACCGCCAAGGGAGGCGCCCAAGAAGAAATCGCGCAGCAAAAAAGTAACTAGCGATAGCGATGCAAGCGACTCCACATCAGAGAGTAGCTCTGATGATGACGAAGATGATGATGACAGCGCAAAAGATGTGCGACTAACCAAAAACACTGGAACCACAGCAACCACCACCATCACCACACAAACAGCCACCAGAACAACAGACAAGGCCAACACTCCTCCCACAAAAATAAGCACAACTAACCATGCGACTAATGGCACTTCTCTAACTAGTCCCATTACCACCTCAATCGCCACCGCAACCACCACATCTAGCTCCACCACTAGCACCTCTGCTCTTGCTAACTCCTTAAACCACACGGCGGCAACAGCGGCGTCCGCGACAGCCAGCAGCAGCAGCAACAGTAGCAGCAGCACCGCCACTACCAAGAGCCGTTTTCTCCTCCACTCAGATCGCAATAACAATGACCTGTCCAAATACAGACCCTCCAATGTCGGGAGCGGCCTCATGCACTCGGCCAGCTCGGGCGCCCTAGCTTTTGGCGGCATTGGGGCGCGTTTGGCGGCGGCGGATGCGCGACGCCAGCAGCAGTATCAGCAGCGCTACCAGGGCGCCACTTCTCGCACCGCTGCCGTGCTGAACGAATTGGATCGCTATGGCGCTACCTCGTCGTCATATAAGCCCAGCTCGAGCTCCTCCTACCTGCACGATCCCTACAGCAGTGTTCTGGGCAACGCCCGTCGTTCGAATGCGGTGGGTGGTGCAGGTGGCTTGGGCAGTTCGCTCAGCAGCTATCAGCGACAGCAAACGTCGCATTTGGATGCCTATCAACAGCACCAGCAGCAGCAGCAAAGGCAACAGCAGCAGCAGTCGTATTTGTCGCAGTACCAGCAGAACGATCATTATCTGCTGGCGAAGAGCGCCACTTCCTCGGCCCTGTTCCATAGGTCACGCATTCCAAAGACACTCTCGACCTTTGTAAGCCACTACTGGGATGTCCTGTTTGGGACTGTATTTACTACTTTGCTGCAACCTGCCACTACCAACTACCAACTACTCACCCCTCGGCTTTGTTGGCGCCAATCCCTAACACGCAATCGAAAGCAACCAGAAACTGCTAACCTGAAACCATGAAACGAACAGAACAGTACTGCTAACAGTCTCGCGTTATGTTCTTGAGCCAAAATGTTAACTAACATAGCATATTGACAGACAGAATGTTGTTAAGCTTGTCGGCCCACACGCATTGCATGCACCGCGCTCTCTTGATCTCTTGCTCTCTCATCTCTCTCCTCCTCTCAAACGTAAGAAAACTTGACAATGTAGACATTTTCAGAAATATGAAAACTATTCTGAATTCCGAGATTTCGTCAATTAACATTAACATAATCACGCATATATTTTTAGCATCACAATTTAATATTAATTATTTTTCTTTTACCATGCCAATGAAAAAAGCAGCTACTGCAATTAATTTATGCCCGTTTTTTATGATTTTGTTTTGTTGAACTTTTGTTGCCCGAAACACACAAAAAAAAAAAAATAATAATAATAATACAAATTTGCACATTGTTAAGTGCATTTCCTATATATATGTTATGCGCTATATATGTATATGATATGATATATGTTTTATATTTTATACGAAAAAAAAGAAAACAAACAACAAATTTAACCATTTTTGCAAAACACAAATCTCAAAAATTTGTCCGAACTAATTTTCTTATCGAACAAACGAAACGTATTTTTCTCGTGTTTTTTCTGACTATGATGATGAAAATCACAATGATGATGATGATGATGGGTTGATGATGAATTGATGTTATGGTTGGTTATCGGAATGATGTCTTTGCTGCGCTTTAATTGAATTCGCGTTTGATGAACTCTACAAACGAATCGACTGGGATTGGATCGAATGCGCTGGACTCATGGATTGGGATGGATTTGGATGGATGTATGTTGTGGTGCCATCGTGGGACTATCTGCCGGATTGTGAACTAATTGCCTGCCTGCCTGCCTTGGCCCTGCCCTCTATCAATATGAAAATCTGGACAACGACGGCACTGTGGGCTCCTGATTTTTGTTTCTTTTCTCTTTCTTTTTTGTTTCTTTTTCTCTCTTTCAAATTACATACTTTGCCACTCACGCACACTGAAAATGTCTGTGTTTGCCAACTACAACAACAACAACTACAACAACCATGCCCTAACAACAACAACAACGGCTTGCAACCCACTACCAAAATCGTTGAAACAAAACTCGAAAATCCTGTGTCACCGCCGTCTTCATCGTCGTCGTCGTCGTCGTCCTCTTCGCTACTCTATCGCCTTCGTCGCGCCCACGTTCTCTTCTCGCCCAATCAACGGCTAATCATGCACCCATCATCCAACTGCAACGCATCGCACCCAACTGCAACCACAACTACTACGACAACAACAACAACAACCACCTACCCTCCAATCGTCAACTGATCGCTCTCGCTCGCTCAAACAGACAGCAAAGCCCGTCATTCAAGATGATGCTGATGGTCACTTAATTTACCACACGGGAGACATTCTCCATCACAGATGTTCGTGACAATTTTTTGTTTTTATTTTTCCCATATTTATTTATCTCAAAAAACCAAACAGAAAGAACAGACTTAAAATGATATTCAAAATGCCTCTACAAACTTAAAACAAAACTGCCACACCACTCTCACTCTCTTCTACATCTTGTAACTTTCTTATAGTTAGTTTCTGTACTTTTCCAAGTTTTCTTTATTATTTCGTAATTATCCGAAACAGTAACAGCAACAAAGACAACCGAACAGAGCCAGAAACAAAAGAAACGTTAATAATAATAGCGACAACCTCAGCAACAAATATTAAAACACGAAGCGCGTCGCGTGCCTTGACACATTATTTTTGGAATTACTTTCAATTTATTTAAAATTTTCACACGACTGTCTTTTCCGACAACAACAACCTATTAAAAGCAAAACCTCAATTTGTAGACAGATTTGCGTTCAATTTGAAAATTGAAATTGAATTTACACTCGTCTCGTACACCCGGAAACTTTGACATGATCGGAACATCATGATTAATGAAATAATATTGAAAATGAAAACTTTTTCCGCACATTTTGGTTTAGAGTGCAGTTCAGTATCGGGTTTCTTGCTAAAAACCTTTCTCACCATTACCCAGTTACTACAGTTACAGGATTAGATTTAAAGAACAAAAGAGAAACTTTACGAAACAGCCAACAATTATTTAGAAGCTGTTACCCTCCTCCCAACCGAGCACTACAAATGGCCTTCTTTTTGCCAAATTTCAGATAAGATCATGGCCACACTGGGCGAAGGCACCTTCGGACGTGTGGTTAAGGTCAAGGATATGGAGCGGTAAGTTTTATTTAACTCCACAATTCCATTCAGATAACTGACTAATCATTCATTCTGAACTCAGTGATTACTGCATGGCCCTAAAGATCATCAAGAATGTGGAGAAATACCGCGAGGCGGCAAAATTGGAGATAAATGCTTTGGAGAAAATAGCACAGAAGGATCCGCATGGTGATCAGTGAGTATAATCAGAAGAGCTAGAAATTCCAACTCCCACAGCTAGACACTAATCCATATCTCTATCCATTTTAGTTTGTGCGTCAAAATGATTGACTGGTTTGATTATCATGGACATATGTGCATAGTTTTTGAAATGTTGGGACTCAGTGTTTTCGATTTCTTGGTATGTATTCAACGATTATTTTGGTGCACTTATTATTATACCCTGTACCGGTGAGGGCTGAATACTACTGCTAGAAAGTATACTGGCAAGTGTAAACCTTAAGTTTTGGCCAAGATATACGAGACGGATCAGTGTCCGTCTGTATGAACCCCCAAAACTTTTAACATTTAACACTTAGGTTAGCAAAACCTGCTCTGTAGACTTATCTTTTCAACATGCAACAAGCAAGATTATTAAGAAGAATTATTTTGATATCAAATTGGTATTTATTAGCTTTCTATAATCACACACCGTATTATATCCTGAAGTTGCATTAATATCGGTTAGAAAATCGGTGAAATGTTCGCTCATGCTACCAATTAGGAGGGTATGCCCGAGTCGTGCTTGCTTTAAGGGTCCACTCGTTTAATTGTATTGGCTTTGTTGCAGCGTGAAAACAACTACGAGCCTTATCCGCTGGACCAAGTGCGCCACATGGCCTATCAATTATGTTATGCTGTGAAATTCTTGCATGACAATCGATTAACGCACACAGATCTCAAGCCGGAGAACATACTATTCGTCGATTCGGAATACACTCCTCACTATAATCATAAGCTGGTAAGTCAGTTATTTCCAATCGTCTCTTCCAATCTAAGTGATATACTCTTTTACCCTGTAGAATTGCGAGGTGCGCCGCGTCAAGAACACGGATGTGCGTCTCATAGACTTCGGGTCGGCCACCTTCGACCACGAGCACCACAGCACAATTGTCTCGACCCGGCATTATCGCGCGCCCGAGGTTATCTTGGAACTGGGGTGGTCTCAGCCCTGCGATGTGTGGTCGATAGGGTAGGTTCCGCACCGTTTATAATCGAGTTAGTAGTTTGTGGCTAACATTTTCTTTGAATCTCATCCCTGCAGCTGCATACTGTTCGAGCTTTATTTGGGCAACACGCTCTTCCAAACGCACGACAATCGGGAGCATCTGGCCATGATGGACCGCATATTGGGGCAGATACCATATCGCATGGCACGGTAATGAAATGCTGCTCATGCTTACAATTTTCTTTGCGCAGTCCACTTCACCGAAATCGTTTAACGTGTAGCAATCATACTCTTTACAGCAAAACCAAAACAAAGTACTTCTATCATGGTAGGCTGGACTGGGACGAGAAGTCCAGTGCGGGCCGCTACGTCCGCGACAACTGCATGCCATTGTTTATGTGCCAGTTGAGCGACAGCGAGGAGCACTGCGAACTCTTCAGCTTGATCAAGAAGATGTTGGAATACGAGCCCTCGTCCCGCATCACGTTAGGTAAGTGGCTCACTAACCAAACGGCCACTCGACACTCGCTAACTTTGTGCTTTCCTTATTTCCATGACAGGTGAGGCACTGCGCCATCCATTCTTCGATCGTCTGCCAGCGCATCAGCGCATCGGAGATGTGGGCAACAATAGCAGCAGCAAGCAGCCGTTGTCCTCGGGCAGCAGCAGCCGCGAGCGATCGCACAGCTTGTCCAGATGAGAATTACAGCGATTTGGTTATTGTTAAAGGCATACGAAACAACTTGCATTACTCATACAAGGATACACACACACCACCATCATCACTATATACACACCATTCATCCATCTATCTAACTACCAGGAGAGAGAGCGTATGCAGAGCAACATGCAACCCAGAATATTGATCGACCAACTGTTGGGCAGCGAACCGCAACAAACGACATCGTTAGACATTTTTGAACTTGACTTGTATAGAGAGTTAATTTATACTGAACTTATTTTTAATTGAGTTATCCCAAGCATGTTGCTGGTGTGTCTGCCTCCGGCCTGTTGTGTATTGTCATAATAACCGCCTATTGTGTTTTGTTTTGTAATGATAACCAAATCGTGCATAATTTTTGATAGTGCTTCGTGTCACTAAACCAAACCCCCTCCCCCTAAGATGTCTGTAAATGTCAAATCATCCAAATATTATGAGGAGAAGCAGAAACAATTACAACAAGAAGAATAACAAGAAGAAGAAGAAGAAAACAATTTACGACTGCAATGCTTAAGAATTAAATGCGATAAACACTTGTAAAATAGTTCAGAAAGCGCGCTGGTTGAAATTCAGAAAGTCCGATTGGGACTACTACTCTAGTGTCGGTTTTGTAATTAGTAAAATGTTTGCTAAAGCATGTAATTATACATATATACTTATATTTAAATTATATACTATATACCTTCGATGTATGTAATGTAATATAAAGAGGAATTGTGATGACGACCTGTGTGTCGGCAGAAACAAGAGAACACAAAACATACTTTGTGCGAATTCAAATACGACAACAAAGTCATCAATTAATGTGTATTGGCAGCCGCGTCTGCTGTTCAGTTCAGTTCGGTTCGCTTTAGTTTGCTTCGATTAAGTTCGTTTCGTTTACGTTTACGTGTATTTGTCGAATATCGAAGGAGAATTCAACAAATTAGTGAAACAAGATTGTGAACACACTCAACTCAATGACACTCATGCATACATAATTGTACACCCACATGAGCAGATGGAATGGCAAGAACCCCAGAGGACCTTTGTATCCTCTCTATACTTATACATATACATACAAGCATACAAACATACATGCATACAAACATTATATTCAAATGATTGTGAATTAGTTTAATATTACATAAATATTAATGGTAAATTACATTATTTGCAATTTAATAACCCCATCAGCCAGCATATAAGATATACAAATCAACAACAGCAACAACAACATATTGTCAAGTTATTTAAAAATTGAAATAAATTTTAAAACGAATCCAAACACATCTATCTATTCCTCTCATACATACATGCCTACATTGTATGTGTATAGGAAATGTTTATTTGTTTAATGTGTTTTAACAGCAGCAGCTGCGAAAACTGGTTCATTAATATTCTTTGGCAATCTATTTCAGACACACATACATGCACACCATCTGTATGCCATCAGCAGCTTTATAGCTGCATTATATACATACATACATATGTATATAGCTACATATATTTCTTGGGCCACGCGATTAACTTTGAACAGATATTGACATTGCGCTATATTCCGTATTTCAATTGAAATCTGCAACGAACTGTCTTTGCTGACTGATAAATGGTGTTTTGTGATCCGTAATCTGCACTCGGCCAAATGGCAAGAGCTACGAAGCTGCAAGGAGAATTTGAACTCCAAATGGGTGAAAGGCGGGGCTGAGGTTTGTATGGGAAATGTTTTATTTTTCAAACCGCATCGATTGCAAAATAGATACGGTTTTGCAAATTTATTTAAGCACTGCGCCATTGCTATACTTTTTATACTACTATATTAATTTGCCTTAAGCGTGATACATTTTATGTGGAATACATTCTTAAAACTAACAACGAATCTTGTCTGGAGAAAACAATAACCACTCAGAATGATACTAAGAAACCCATAGCGCAATAAGAACACATATCCAGCAATATTGTGGCCGCCTTCCTCTGCGCTTCTCATACCAAGTACCTAAGCGCAGGCAAATCGAGAATTAAATTGTGAAATTTCCGAAAAATTAAATAACAATATTGTGGAACAAGTGTAAAGCAAAGTCACCTACAATTTAACAGGAAACTTGTGCCAAAATTTCAGCTTTGAATCGAAATGTGAAATTGAGTGCTATTAGTTTCTAGATATAAACACGGTTGAATTTGCATATTGTACATATGTGTGTGTGTAAATATATAGTTACATATATTTTATTTTTGAATGCAGACGCTATCTATTCATACATATGTATGTACATATGCGTTTATGAATTCAATTTTTAATACAAAATATGAATGTTGTGAGTGTTTCTGGTTTTTAAATTGCAAGATACAGAGTATACAAACTAAGTTTGAAAATTGTGAAATTTTCATAAAAAAAATTTTCCCCCTTTGGAGCTCGAATTCCCAAAAAAGAGAATGCCCTGAGTGAGAAGGGTCCAAAGATTCGGATAAAATAAATAAACTTCAGTCATAATTGATACCCATGCTAATCGAAAGGTATAGGAGCGCACTTTTCAGGAAGATATACGAGACAAGCTTCCACTGAAAATCGTCTACTTATATTACGAGTTTGGTCAAGTGATGAGAATCTATCTATATGGGCGGTAGCTGCAGATACTGAAGGTGCAATAAATTGTTAGTTTTTCAACTTTTTCCACGAACAGCTAAGTCTCTGAAAATTTCGGTACATCCTCATTTAGAAGTGGTTGAACTAATGAATTAATAGATTAAAATGTTCTGCCTCATTAACACACATAAACGCTAGCAAATTAATCAAATGGCGCAGGTAACTAAAATAAGCACTTACCACACAATGGGTTCGCATTTAAAACTGTTGATTAGGCGCGCACAGACATTATTATCTCTCGATTCGCAAGGATAATACAGTTCTCTGTGCGCCCTCGCACCCTCATTGCTTTGGCGGAATCAAAAGCTGAGCAGCTGCTGTTGTTTTGGCGCCAACTCGAATTCGAACCTTCGCAACCCCCCAGCTTGTAGTATTCGGTGTTGTTATTGATTTTTTCTTCGCTGACATAATTTGCGTGCCATCGCGTGGTGTCGTATTTATTTCGATTTTGTGCCACTGGCGGGTTGAATCTTTTGGAGAAATCGCAGCAAGTTGGTGTATTGAGTCCAGCTCTGGCTAAGACGAACGTTTATTTCAACCAGCAGTACAGGAACAGCCAACAAAATTGCACATCTACTTGAAAACCCTCTCCACCACCAACCACCACTATCTGGTGGCACTGCGGAACGTCTTGGGGTAGATTTTGATTTCTACAACGTGGCTTCCAGCAAGGTGCATCCCAGTCCGGGGGCAGCGCGCAGTGTTTGGGCGTTGCCCCTGACCGCATCATGCAACATGGTGGCAGAGGAGGATGGCGGCACGCACGCCGATGTGGACCATCGGCCGCACTCGCCGCCGCTGACGGGATCAGGACGTGTGGGCGGCAATCATGACGGCGAGGGCAATGGCAACGACTGCACCGACCAAGACAGCATGCTCGACGAAATATTCGACATCATCAAGAACGGGGAGGTGAGCGAAGTGGAGAGCTTGGTGGAGAAATTCGGCATGGAGTGCCTGTCGGCCCGGGATCGTCATGGCTACACGCCCGCCCACTGGATCGCATTGAACGGCAACGTGCAGCTCATGCGTTATTTAATCGAACGTGGCGCTCCAATCGATCTTCCCTGTCTCGGCACACAAGGGCCCAGGCCCATACACTGGGCCTGTCGCAAGGGCCACGCAGCCGTGGTTCAAGTGTTGCTCCAGGCCGGAGTCGCCGTGAACGCGGCCGACTTCAAGGGACTTACACCGCTAATGCTCGCCTGCATGTATGGACGCACCGCCACAGCCGCCTATCTGCTTGGCATGGGGGCGCTGAATAATTTGACAGACATAAATGGAGATACGGCCCTTCATTGGGCGGCCTACAAGGGACACGCGGATCTGATGCGCCTGCTCATGTATTCCGGAGTGGAGCTGCAGAAGACGGATAACTTTGGATCCACTCCGCTGCATCTGGCCTGCTTGTCGGGCAACATGACGTGCGTGCGTCTGTTGTGCGAGAAATCGAGCCTCGACCTGCAGCCTCGCGACAAGAACGGCAAGACACCCATAATGCTGGCCCAGGCCCATCAGCATCAGGATGTGGTGCGTCTGCTGTACACCGAGGTGAAAAAGAAGTCCCGCTGGATACCATCCGTCTCAGAGAGCTGGGGCTGGCTTTTCGGCGGAGCAGGCGACTCCAAGGGCCCGCTGTTTCTCTTCCTATTCTCAGTCCTGCTCTGGGGCTACCCCATGTACATGATACGGGTGAGTGAGAGGGTGATGAAGATGATAGAGGGGTAATCCTAAATTGTGAACAATCCTGAGAATGGGGAATTGTGATTTATACAAATATATACATACCTTATGGTCAGGCAGGTGTTGGGAATCTTTTGACTAATTCCTATACCTCCATGGAACTTTAAAAGATGTACAGTGCCTTATAACTCTTTCAGGCCATACCAATTACGTGGAATATATTGCGACGCTCGCATTATTGCTTCATTTACTGGAATGCGGTGATGTGGATAACTTGGGCCATTGCCAACCGACGCGACCCCGGCTATATACCGCTCAGCTCGGATGCCTACTATCGGGCCATCAAGCAAATCCCGTACTTCGACAAGCTGAAGAAGCGCAACGTTATTCTCACCAGGCTGTGCCACAGCTGCCGGTGTCTGCGTCCCCTGCGGGCGAAGCACTGTCGTGTTTGTAATCGGTGTGTCACCAACTTCGACCACCACTGTCCGTTCATCTATAACTGTGTGGGACTGCGCAATCGGATGTGGTTCTTCCTGTTTGTGCTTTCGGTGGCCGTCAACTGTTCCTTCACGATCTACTTCGCCTGCTACTGCGTCATGATCGAGGGCTTCACGCTGCTGTACGTGTTGGGTCTGATAGAAGCTGTGGTCTTTTGTGGTCTCGGATGGATTCTCACCTGCACATCGGTACGCTTACTGAGATATACTTGTAGAGCTTGTCGCTATCACTGAATTGTTTCTGCTTTCAGATCCTGCACGCCTGCATGAATCTGACCACTAACGAGATGTTTAACTATAAACGGTATCCGTACTTGCGAGACAAACGGGGCCGCTACCAGAATCCTTTCTCCCGCGGTCCCATCCTCAACCTACTGGAGTTCTTCGTGTGTCTCCCAGATCGTGGCGATGACAACGACCTCCTGCTCGAGGATAACATTTGATTAAGAAGCTAGGAACGCGTAAATGCTCGTCGCCGTAAAGTGCCTGTTCGTGGATAATAGCGACTCATCGCTCTCTCCAGGACACAACGTTGTAGTTGAGGCGCTCAGCATATTTTTGCTCCACAAAGCTTAATGCTTTCCTGTCTGTTAGTCGGAAGCTCAACATTTTGGTCCCACTGGCACACAATTTATTATCAATCATACACTTAAGATACACACAAAAATATAAAAGGATTGCTCCAGCTGTCCGGCTGTTCGTACCAAAACAGATCGGGATCCAGTCTGCTACCAGAAAATCGGGACAGCAATTAGTCCTACATCCTTTTTTAAAATACCAGCTAATGTCCAAAAATAGTCAATCCTTCATTTAAGACCATTGGAACGATCCGCACGTTTGGGGAGATATGTTTATCTTGCCAAATTTAATCAAAAATTTTGAATGTAAGTGGGAATTACTGCTCCAATATTCGTGCATATCTAATTAAGCTTAGCATTTTTACTCGTTTTATAATTATAATTGTAATTATGCAATTGAAGTATGAGCTGAAATTTTGAGTTCGCACGGTTGAGTTTTCCAATCGTTCAAAAGTTCAATGTAATCGCAGTTCCCGTAATCCAGCCAGATCCAGGGAAAGATTCTTCAAATGCCCAGCGAGTGTAAATAACTTAATTAAGTTACCATTGAAGCTCGGCAGGGACGAACGTTTAAATTGCCATTTTTGAGAACTGGAAATGTTTGATCCTCATGGGATGAGATGAGATTTTGAGAAAGCTCCAAACACAATTTTGCTTCTACTTCTTGGGAATAAATTACCATTTATTTGTTCTTTCTGGGGTTTCCATTTGTTTGTTTCGCTACTTGTTTCAATTTGTAATTTTTTCTTTTTTCGTAATATTACAATAGTTGAACTAAATAAATAATAACAAGTTTATAAATATAATTTCTTTCCATTAGTTTTCCTTAATTACTCCATAAATGTTGTTTATGATTTTGTTTTCGTAATTATGCAATTACTGTACTTTCTTTCTTGTTTTTCTACTTCCGCTTCTTGTCATTATTTAAAAACAGGAAACAGGAGCTGTTGATTTTAACTTTTGATTTATCTGTTTGACACACACACACGTGTGTGTATGTATGTGTGTTTGTCTGTGTACTTGTGTAGTTGGATTAAGCCGAACTCAATTGCGTAAGCTTCAAATGTGGTCGCTTATGTTGTTGTTGTTTACTTATACTTAGTGGCTAACAATGTGCTTAGGCTAACTAGTTATAAAAATAAAAGTTACATCTATAAATTGCAACAAAAACAAAATCCTACAAAAAACCTATTAATTCCATGTGTTTGCATGTACATACTCGTACTTATGTACTTACATATATGTATGTATGCAATAAATAAATATTTCGTTTTTAATTCTATGCATACTGTATGCGGCTATATGTATGTATGCATGTGTATGATGGGCATATTTCGATAACGGTATTTGCAATTATGTACAAAACAAATAAAAAATGGCCGTTGAAAATGCAACGAATATTTTCGTGTATGCTAATTATTTTAAAAACTTTCTGTTTTTGTTTTCTTTTCTTTTTTGTAACTTCTTTCATTCCATTAACATTTTGTTATCTTGTTGGTATTTATTGTCTATTTCGAAAGTGTGGCAACGCCGCACAGTTGGCCCTTGGAGAGCCTACCGCACGAGCGCAACTAAGCAGAGTCGCGGCAGGGGGGCGAGAGGGAGGGAGAGAGAAACGATATACATATGAAAACGAACGAACTCCAAAGCGTTTTGGGACTAACAACTGGCAAGCGACAATGGATATTTGTTTAGCATCGTAGATCTAACTAATCTCCTCCGATTTGGTTGCCCTACTTATGCCCAATAATTAGCGTATAGTTGCGAGTAGTTGTTGTTGTTGTCAGAGTCGACGCCGTGCCCGACACAGACTGCGACGTCGACGTCGGCGCTGGTCATTTGGTCAGCCTCAAGAGCTCTGCCTTGGCCGTGGCCGAGACGGTGGCTGCAGCGGTGCCTCCAGTGCCGGTCGACGGTGGCGCAGGCGCTATGCGTATGGGCTTCGGACGCTGTTGACTGAAGAGGCCACTCAATGTGCTGGCGGTTAGCACCACACTGCTTCCACTTCCGCCACCGCCACCGACAGTGGATGTCGTTGCCACGCGCTTATTGCGTGCTAAGCCATTGATGTTGCTGCTGCTGCTGTTGTTGTTGTTGCTGCTGTTGGCGATCACAATATGGGCTGCGGACACATTACTCGTGGACGTGGGCTGCTGTTGGCTGTGGTTGTGGGTGACAGCGGGAGGGCTGCCCATTGTGCTCGCCGACGTGGTGGTCGACGAAGCTGAAATGTTATCCAACTCAGTCATTGCTTCTTGAATAGCCCGCTCGAGTTGCGAGTTCAGTTTGCGGCTCCTTTGAGTGGTTGTTGTTGGTTTTTGTGGTGGTGGTTGTTGTGGGGTGTGTATTGGGGTTTCGGTGTTGTTGGGGGATATTGTTTGTTGCATATGATGATGATGATGCGCACACACACACATACACAGACAGTAAGTTATACACATATGCAGATGGCAGGGTTGGCAGGGATCGGTCAGCGCATAGTAACATTAATAAAAATAAATAAAAACGAAAATATATTAATTAGCGTAAATCAAAATTTACAATGTGGTGTCAAATTAAATCTAATTTAAAATGCAATTAAATCTATCAGTTCTAAGGCTAAAATCAAATTAATTAAAATTCAAACTTTAAATGCAAACACTAAATAATAAAAAAAAACTTTAACAATACTAAATACATATTTATAAAAGAAATTCAATATTCTACTTAGCTACAATTTAAAACTATTGTGTCTTCTAACTGCTGCAAATATTTAAAGCTATTCCTCTAAGTATGTACAGCAAAACATTTCCAATGTCCTCCCCTGTCTGCTAACAGAATTTTGATGACATCTTACGATATCTTCAAAAACAAACAATCTATCGTACGAAGAATGATGATTACCATCGAAGGGAGTTATAGTACGGACGGATAGACGGACAGGTCTACCTATTTATATAGACTTTTCTCGTCATTTGTAGTATGTCCTTAGGGCTTAAAAAGGGATTCAAAGCAGTACCACCACCTGTTGAATGGGTACAGATCCAAGCAGCAGCTGCTCTGGGGAAGTCTAAAGAGATCATTAAAGGTTCATACGGCATCTGATCGGAAATCCCCAGAAAATACTTTTATGAATCACAATTCTGATGTCAACCTCCTAACATTGAAGAAGTTTCGAAGCTCGCTTGGTTGTAAGCTAATGACCTATCCTGAATATTTTAGTAACTAACTAATATTCCTGCAGCCAGTGCTTAGACATTTTTCATTTGTCAGAGCGTTTGCTGTCACCCCCTTTAAAGAAACATCTTGACCTGGCTCGATGCTCACTTTCTAGTATCCTTTTGCGCCTTGTGGTGTGCCTCCAGGCCCTCGGACAGGCTCTGCAATAGGTTGACCGGAATCAGCTCAGAGGTGGAGCGTCCCCCACCACCAAACCACTGCACGCAGACATGATCAAACTGCTTTGATGGCGTGCACATGCCATCGGGCATCTTCACGATCTTGCCTGGCCAGGCGGGATGACCGCGCGCCGGCCCCCAAATAAGTTCCCCGATGGCAAAGGAGCGTGGCGGCATCAGGGGCAGCATGTTGCTTGGCGTGACGCGGACAGCCCGCTGACGGGTTCGCTTGCTGGGTGTGGATGTTGTTGCCTTCATTCTAGGAGGTGCATCGGAGGGTTCTTCTGCCGGTGGCAAGGCTGAAGGCGGTACCGTCTTGGTCGTTGTTGTGCTGGGGATGTTGGGCGGCGATGTGGACGACTCTACGAAAGGCACACACACGTAGATAGGGGTGGGTTTATGGGCGCTCTTATTCTATGAGCAACTTGACGAAAGCGAGAACTCTGTCTTGGTTAGTGGGCGAGGAGGACCGACACCAGAGCGAGAAGACACAAACAATACAAACAAAACAATGGCAATGACAGTGACACACATATGGGGATGCAGAAATGGATGGCGAGTGTATAATGAAGGAGCATTGCTACATTCTTTCAAAGTTCGATAATTGGTATTATTGGTTTTTAAATGAATGCGACAATGTCCTCAGCATGCTGATACGCGTGCAGAGTGTTCTAATTTGGTGAAAGGCTGGTTAGTTAGTGCTGTGGATGGTGCTGTTAGTGGTAAATGAACGTAGGCGAGACCTTACCCTGGTACTCGACGCTAACTACTTTGTGGTTATTGAGGTGCATGTAAGCGCTGGAGGGTTGGCTATGGCTGTGGTTGTTAGAATGCCTGTTCGAGTGCATGATGTGGCTATGGCTGGGGGGAGCGTGATGCGCGGACACCTGCGAATGCATTAGGCTCCCTGCCGATGGGGCAGTGGCCATGGTTGCAGCTGGGACTGGGTATGAGGTTGATGACGATGAGATGGACAATGGCGTGGACTTGACCATGCGCATACCTTGAGCCATGGCACCCATGCCAAGACCGGTGAGAGCTCCATTTCCGTTCTCCGAAACTGCTGCTGCAGCTGCCTGCGATGTGATGTGTAAACGTCGAATTTTCGGCTCCATTGGCTTGAACACGCTGCTGGGCTGACTGAACGAGTGCGTGGAGTAGATACCTGTGCAATATGGGATGGATTAAGGGATATGTAAATAAAGGTATATGCCATACAACTTACCTCGCTCGCAGTCCGTTGAGGAGGGCGACTGACGACTGTCGGTGCTTTGTGGCGAAACCGCAGCATCCGGCTCCGAGCTGGAAACACACTGGACCTGTAACAAGAACAAAGTCGATTAAATATGATTTTTGTCTATGGAGTTTGTGTAAGGATGTGCTCACCATATCGCTGCCAGTGCTTCGATGACTGGGTGGTCGTTCCGGGCTGTGTGGACTGCATGTTGTTGTGTCCGGAGGACTGGCGGCGGTCATGTGGCGACCATTGACATTCATCGACTCTATGTAGCTCTTCTCGGTGTTCGTGGCAAGCACAGGTTGAAGTGTGGCCGTCGTCGATGCCGTGGACTGCAGGCCGATCTGTTGGTGAGCCTGCTGTTGCTGCTGTTGGTTAGGATGCGGTTGCGGCTGAAGCTGAATGGTCGCCGTCGGACTGGCCTGCACATAGGCGGCAGCAGTGGCGGCTCCCGTTTGGTTAGTCTGCTGGGCCGTTGGCATTACCAGCCCCATTGGTGTCGAGTATATCTGGCCAATAGGGCTAAGTTGTCCATTGGCGCCCACAATGTACTGCTGGCCGGAGGCGCTGGGCGAAATGAAAGGCTTATTCTGTGGTGAAGGCGTGCGCAGCATGACGGGGCCCTGTGGAGTCAGGATGCTCGTTCCTGGAGCACAAGCGCCCACATTCTGTATCTGAAGCAGAGTGGTATCGGGCGCCATCACCAGACCCGCTGGCATGAGCAGCTGCTGCCCAATTAGATTAACGTGCTGTAGAATTTGGCCATTCTGCAGCAATAGCTGATGCGTTTGTGGAGCAGGCTGCGATGCTGGCTTGTTAACCACAATGCCCTGGATGCCGGGACTAAGTTGAAACTGCTGGGGGAACTGAGCAGTTTGCGCAGACGCTGCTGCAGGACCTGTGGTAATCTGCACAACTTGTGGGTGAGTGGTTTGTTGCGCAGCTGCCGCGGCCGCTGCCTGCTGGAGAAGTGCCGGTGCCTGGCTAGGTATGCTGGGCGAGATCTGGGGCGAATGAATCTTGGCGGGCGAACTTGGCGGTGTTGATATGCTGAGCGAGCTCTTCCGTTTGCGCTGCCGGCGTTTCGTCTCCGGCGAGCTGATGATGAGTGCCTGAGTATTTGCCGTGGGCTGCTGCATTGTGTGGTGCTGGTGAACCTGGTGGTGTGTAGAGCTCATCAGCTGTGTGGTATCCAGTGGCTGTGCAGCCGACTGCGCCGGTTGTTGCACAATGTAGCCACCATTGGGCAGTGTATTCAGAACTACGGTCTGTGTGGCTGCCTGTCCTGCCTGACTAGCCGCCTGCGATGTGCTGATAAGCTGATGATGTCCGCCAGCTGGTGTGGCAATAAGCTGTTGGCCCCCCGCGTGCAAGAGTTTGGCTCCACCGGCCGTCAATATGTTATGGCTGGAGTTGAGAATGACAGTGGTGGCGGAGCTGCTGGCATTGGCACCGCTGGGTTGCCCAACGAGGTAGCCACTACCATTCGAATGCGAGTGCTGTGCTCCATTTTGTAGGATAAGTCCACCATTGGCACTGGCTGCCAGCTGCGGCAGCTCGTTAGCTCCAGCCTGCTGCTGTATTATGACGTTTGTGGGCTGGGCCGCTTGTCGCTGCTGTTGCGCCTGCGGCTTGCTGCTCGCAGCAGGTATAACGAGCAGCTGCCCCGATGACGTCATAATGATCTGACTGCCATTGTTGGCGAGGTCGTTGGGGCGCAGCAGCGGCTGCAGCTGCTGGAGCTGACTCACGGTGATTTGATTGTTTGGCGAGATCTTCTGTTCGCTGAGCTTCTGTATGTGGTTTCCTGCGGCTGTGCTAGTCATGGTCGTCAAGGTGTTCGCTGCGCGACTTGCCCCCGCAATTGTAGTGACAATGCTGCGGGTGAGAGTGGCCCCCACAGTGCTGGCAACTGGCAAGCGGGTCGGCTGCGCCGCCTGACGCACAATGCGCACTTGAGTGTGCTGCGCGGCTGAGGCTTGCTGCACCTGCTGCTGAAGCTGCTGATTCTGCACGCGCATCTGGAGAATCTGCGCCTTGGCATGCGTGGGTAATGTGGCTACCAGGGTTGAAGATTGCTGCTGAGGCTGAGGCTGTGGCACAGGCGAGGCCGATGGCGCACTCTTCAATGAGTCCGGCGACTCCGTTGGCGACGAAAGACTATGCCGTGGACTCTCATGGCTGGTCGATATGGCACCCACCTGCTCAGGTCGCTTCTCTGACTCGTTCACATTACGGGCTTGCGCCATTGCAGTGCTGGAGGAGACTGGAGAATCCTGTGGCGCAGACACCACCGTAATACTGGAAATTTGCGGCTTTTGTGGACGCACAAATGCCGGCGGCAGCGTCTCCACATGCAATGAACGCGCTCCAGACGGCTCCAGTTCCCACTTGCCGCCAGCAAAGAGCGAGAGACGTCGAATGCGCTGCCGTTGCTGCAGATTCGACAGTGATTTCTGCTGCTGGAGCGGCGGATGTGACATCTGCTGCGAACTATGCACAATCGGCTCCTGTGGTAGGGCTTTTGCCGTCGTGCAAATCAACTGCGCCTTGCGGCTGATGCTGACACTGTTCTCCACCCGGGACATGACACCACCACCAGATGCGTTGCCTCCTTCCAGTCCTCCGCTTAGCGTATTGTGCAGCAGAGCCGTTTGCTGCTGCATGTAGCCGGCAGGATCATCGTTGAAGTTCGGCTTCTGCTGCTGCACATGTTTCTGCTGCTGCTGCTGCTGCAGCTGCTGTTGCTGTTGCGGCGGTGGTGCTGGCGGTGGCGTTGGCTGCTGCTGCACTTGATTCCGATTCTCGCCACCATTTATCACATGCATTGGGCGAGACCCTTTGCCGATTGCGACAGCTTGACTAGTTAGCATGGTCGTAACTGCGGGCGTAGTTGGTACAGCATAGGGGGAGAGCTTGGTAGTCGCAGCGTTTAGTGCATCGCCATATTTCAGACAATCAGTATCTGCGAATGAGAATCAGTTTAAAGGACATTATCTTCATAACTAAGTTGGATGTACATAAGTATAAGTTAACTTGGCCAACATACAGAGACCATGCTTCTTCCCAGAGTGCACTTGCGTGAACTGACAGCCTACCCTATAAGCATTTCAAAATTAGAATGCATCTAAGCACAGAAACACCAAAGACCAAAGGGTTGCAGTTCCTCATGAAACTGACTCATGTCTCTACAAATGAATTTATAATATTCGATCCCATATGTTTCAGGACCCGGACTGAAAATACTTGCATAAGGATGCGGAGAAGGGTGCTGTTGGGTATACCAAGAAAACCCACATACATATGTTTGATGATTCACGCATCAAACGTAGAAGCCCATATGACTGTGTCGACTTTTAAGGGATTCTACATGCACCTGCCGGATGTGATTATATCCATTTACCCTCGTAGAGGGTTTAAAAAAGGGGCGAACGCTACGGTTAAAGTTTTCCGTTTCCCATTGCAAAACTCAGCCAAGATAAAGGCACGGCAGTAAGGTCAGGTCACGCCGCTGGCGCCTTACCTCTCTTTTATGCTTCGCTGGGCTGCACTGAAGCTCGAGGAAACGCTGAAAAGCACTTCTCGACGGCAAGGACCAAAACTAAAAGCGTTTGACAATGACAGACAACAACAACAACAACAGAAAGAAGCAGAAAAAACCGTTGCCAGGCGTCGAGTGTCGTACCACAGTGGGAAACTGGAAATGGCTGGGAAAAGCACAATAAAATCAAAACAGGAGAACGTGAAGCGCAAACTTATTAGGGAGCCTGGAGAGAAGGAAATGCCAGCGCCGCGTGTGCACATGGAAAAGGACGAAAGAGCTGAGGTGGTGGTGGTGGTGGGGCGACCACAACAACAAGTGCTCCGCTGGTCCATAATGCGTGCTGCAAGTGCGCTTCTGTGTGGGTTGCGACGCGAATGTGCTGCTGTGAGTGCAGCATTTAATGGCGAACTTAATTAAAATGACAGGAAAAACAAAGAAAACGCCAACAGCCCCCAGCCGGCACGGCAATAACCCAATGAGAAGTGCATCGAAACGAGTTTGTCAGACCGTCGTCAAACAGATTGAATGGGAACAGCACATGTAACGATTTTAAATAAAAAGGCCAGGGACACACATTATTCCCATTTTAAGCCCGCACACAATCGGTTGTTGTTCTATAAAAATGGGATATATTCCATTATCTATAATGTGAACAACCCACAGATGCGATGGAGAGCAGAGGTAGGACATGTGTATTGTAAAACTCCCACCAAATGTGTTCTTGAGCAGACAAAATGTAAACTCGGTTGTCATTTTGGGGAAAATTATAAAAATCATAAACTATTTTTGCAGAAAATCTTATTCTGAGTGAGGTCTATCCCGAACCGAACCAAAATAAAACATTTTTTTAATTAATGTTTAAATTAATTTTTAAAAATCTTTAAATTTTTAGATTAAATCGACTAAGAATGGTATTTTATGGAATTAGCAAAATAGATCCTATTAAAGTTCCCGTTCAGCCCAATTTAGGTTTCGAATAAAATTTAAATCATGTCCTATACATACATTTTTATATTCCTTTTGCGCTTTCTCAATTATGAGTTGATTTATCTTCTTTAGGTAGCCCATGTTTGTTCACTTAATCAATTAAGTAAAGTAACTGAATTAAAATATAATAGTAGCTTTCTATTAATGCCATCAGGAGTAATTTGGAAACATAACTTCAAATGGGCATCTAAACTGCTTGAAATTAAAAGCGCTTTTATGTTCGCGACCCGGAACATGACCGCCTGAACTTTAACCTCGATGAAAAGCCACAAACATACTTCATGGGTTCTATAACATAAATATAACTTTTCGTTTATTTCACAGCATGAAGCGGACGAATTAGAACGCATACCAAGATATTCTATCAGGACTTTAAAATATAATTTACATTCCTTTGTAATAATTAGACAACACAAATCACAAATCGAAGCCCAGTGGGGAAGGTGATGAACCTCTTGATCAGCATTTTTGACGAAAATGCAACTTTTGTTGTGCTTTTAAGTGAATCTCAAATATGGAAATCTCTAGCTACCGACAATTGTTTTTAATGTTTTTGCAGATAGTTCTATTTGGAGAATGGAGTGCCTGTCTTTCTCGGCCAGCAGGCAAATGGCTAGTCCCACCCACAGCAGGGTTAGACCGCAACTTAGCCATGCAATGGCTGTGAATGCTGACGTCGATGTCGACGTCGACGCCGGCAGCGACACCGACCGCGACGGGCTGCACAAATTTCTAAAACGCGCAAAACTTTTGCTTTGTTCGCTGTTTTTAATGCTCCGCTGATTGGCTCGACTTGACTTGGCCCTCTCGCTGACTCTTGGCCGACTGCAATTGCGGTATGTGTGTGAGTGTGTGTGTGTGTGTAGGTGTGTGTGTAGGTGTGAGTGTGAATGCATGTGTAGGTGTGAGAGCATGTGGTTAAGCTGTTGTGCGGTGGGCGCGCGTGGCCAAAAGTTTGCCGTCAAGTCCCTTTTGTTTCAATTAACCTTTTCATTTTAAAGTTTTAACAATGTTTGCCAAATGTTTGCCGAACTGCCCCGTGCGCCCCATGAGCCCCACGCGCAGCAGCTACTCGAACATTAAACCCAACCTAACCACGCGCATTGGCGGCATTCTCGACTCACACCCACAAGGGGCCCATGTAGCCGGGGAATGGCTCTGAGTGCTGCTTTAAAGGCGACTGCACTTAAAGTGGCCCGCAATGTGTTAACCCTTTTAGCTTCGCTGCTTGGCCTCATCACGTCTGGCAACAGTTTTTTAGTTCCTTGCACCCGACAGGCAAATATCTCGAAATGAAATCAAAATGCTTTGAATGACGAGCGGGTCCCTTTCAGCCTTTCTATGCAAAGCGCAGCTTGAAAGGAATGTGTTTTGTGTTTGAAAAGCAAAACTGATACGCAGAATACGAGAATAGTATGCGGAGAGAAAGGAGCAAAACATTCAGAAATAGTGCTGGACGCAGTAGAGAATCGAATTCAACACAAAGAAGTGTGAACACTCCGATGAAATGGGGGTAAAAAAAAATAGGAAGAAAGACTAAACGTATTTACTCAACTTGATGAGAGTCCACACAGATTCTGCAAACATCTTTCACAAATAAATTGTATTGTTTCGCTCTAAAAGATATGGCTTCCAATAGATGGTCTGTCTCTCGGCCATGTCTATTTTATGAAACAGCAAAATTCTGGACTTGGAACTCCTGTTTCTGCGAATAAGCATTTTTTGCGTAGCGTATTCTTTTCAAATCTATGTTGAGTTGAATATTGGTATGAATTTAAATGAAATATTAAATATTATGATGTTTAAATCGAAATGACGCACCGTTTAGCAAGTCTAACTATTAATATATGTGTGTTTTAAAGCTTTTAGATGTCGCTTAGGGTGTAAAAAGTTTGCGTAAATCGCAAAAGTTTTGCGGGAGCAGCTGTCTGAGGAGACAGCTCGAGGCGTTCTGAAGTGGAAATGTTAAATAGTCCTGGGTATTTAATAAACATAATATTTATTTAAGAGCGTTGAGCTGTTAAAGGGAAATTGTTTGGTGGTTGGCTGGCGGGCTGGCGGGCTCTTGTTGCTGTGCTATGGTAACCGTTAAAATCCTTTGACTGCCCATACAAAGGACAAAATCAACACACAGAGACAACGCCACACACTCTGCCCCACCGCCCATCAACCTCTCAACTGTGCAAACAAACAAGGTGCAGTGAGCTGCCGGCATTGCATGCACTTCCTGCAAAATGCCAAAGCTAAACTCACATCCTTCTCCAGCTCTGGCAGTGCGAGGGGCGGCGAGGCGCGGCGCGGCGCAACGCAGCTTTAAGCTTGTTGAACTCGCTGTTGTGTTTTTGTTTGCGCCGTCTCGCCGTCCGACTGTGTACATCAATGTGTGCGTGCGAGTGCGAGTGTGTGCGTGTGTGCATTTTCACTTTATCATTGTCTGCGCTAAGTTTTCCAAAAGGACGAGCAGCAGCAGCAGGAACAACAGCAACAACATCATCGTGCTTTTTCCTGCTGTATGCACAGGCTCTGTTTGCTCACGTGTGTGTGTGTGTGTTGGTGTTGGCGTGTGTGTGTTGGTGTTGGCGTGTGTGTATGAAGCAAGCGCTGCTCCATTTTGTCGCTTGCATTGGTTCTTCTTGCTTGCCTTTGCTTGCATTTATCGCACGTATCTACACTATATCCCGAGTCGAACGACGGTCTTTGTCGTTAAGGTTCTTGTCCGCTCACTCGTGCATTTTTTCCTCGGCTATTTGTCCTCCGCTTTCTCAGCGTCCTCGCTGCTTCTGCCAATTGCGCAAAAAATTCAGTCTTCACCTCTTTTTTATAGCATACTTTTGTGCGCGCAAAAGTGCCCGCCTGCTGGGACCTTCTGCTTCGCCTTTTTTTCCCCCCCTTTTGCTCATGTCAGGGCTGCCGGGAGCCTGGCTTTCTAGGAATATATACTACATGGAATCATATAGATTTCATTCCAATATAAACTAAAGCATAATCGTGCCTGGGGCAACATTTGAATTATGCATAATAAATAATCCGTAATGGACAGAGTCGCAGAAAGTGTTTAAATAAAAGTTAATAGCATTGCTTTGTGAATGGTATTGGTTCAGTAAGCGATTGAATTAACGTTGTAAACACATTGTGTTTAAATAAAAATAATAGTTATTGCATGAAAACATTAGCTGGTTCCGTCCCCCTGATTAGATTTTGAATAAATTGGCGAATCTGACTAAGATAGCAGAGAGGAAATTATACTTGTATAGCAGTAAAAGTTAATTTTTCAACACTTTATGCTTTGAAGAGTTTAAAGGAAGATATATTTTAATTTTTATGGGCATAGACGTTTAGCCATATTTTGCATTTCGCTTCTAAATCAATCATAGGACTTTTTAAATGTTGTATAAATCGCTTTCTAATCAAACGCGTTTGCCTTCAAAAGGCTTCCTTATTTTTTTGGCTCAGTGGAAAACTTTTGCCAAATAATGAAGAATTAAGAAATAAATACTATGTCCATGCTTATGAAGCTTTATTGTTTTCAATGTGTTTTGATAAATATTAAAGTTTAAGAAGTGCTTTTCAGATGAACACAGCTTTTCCAGCAGCTCAACCAAAATAAGGTCAAGAGTGTTGGCAAGTTGCAATGTGAATATGATTGGCGGGTAAAACATGAGAGTTCATTTGCAACTAACGCTTACAAAGTTGAATAGGAAGTTAACAATATACAGATTTAGGTATAAATCTCGAGCGAAATATAGAATCGCTCGGTTTTGTTTGACATGGAACTTGACGATCGATCCAAATCGAAATATCTGCATTGTCAGTTGAACAGCTATTTTCTGAATTTGTTTGGAGCATTAGTAACGCTTTGTGCGAATGTTAGAAACACATATCAATTCAGAATTCTGATTACAATTGCAAAAGCAGAAGCTTAATGCTATTCACATATTGAGCATAGAGTTTCTTTTGCATTGCTGGGCTATGTTCCTTCCAGTGGAGTTTTCAGTTTAGCGCCAGAGGACTCTTTCTAAATGCAAACTATACAAGTAAGTTGATTATGTGAAGTAAATGGGAGCGTAATTCAATTATCTATCGATGCATAGACAACCCTTTGGTGGAAAAATGAAAAACAAACACTAGATAATGTAATTTGCCTTTGCTGCTGTTGTTGCTTATTGATTGTTGATTATACTACTCGGATGTACATATATTTATGGGCTCGATGCAGAGCAGAGCCACGGCACTGGCACTCACCTTTGTTGGCGCACTCGAGTTTAGTTGGCGTTGGCGTTGTTATTGTTGTTGTTGTGGTGGCCGTGGCTGTGGCAACGGCAGCAGGTGTCGACGATGATGATGTTCGTATTGTTTCAGAAGCTTGCGCCGCCACCGCCATCGCCGACATCGTCATCGTCGTCCGCATCAGCGTGTAGACATCACTGCCAACTACGGCCGTAGAAGTCGCCACATCCTTCCCACTCGACTGGGCAGGCGGTTGCTGAGATTCGATAAAGCGTAGCTGATGCAAGCATGGCGTGGATATGGATGACGAGCTGGACGCCTCTCCCCCAGTGCTGTTCTTGGCATTGGTGTTGCCGTTGGTTGCTTTAATCCCTGCCGCCGGCTTCCATGGCATGTTGGGCACCTGGAATTTGCATAAAAAAACAAATCGCCATAATTAGAAGGTATAAATGCTTCGCGGAATAATCAAATGAGGCGCCTGCTGGCCGCTGTCAATTTCAAATCGAATTTATAATCAGCGACACGAACAAATCAAATGCGCGCCACCTCAACGAATCACACATATAGTACTTATTGCAGCTTTTAATTTACATATAAGCAAACGTGTCTCGAATTTACAAGAGAAAAACAAAGCGAGCAGAACGTGAAAGTCACTCAAAGCCGACTCTAAAATACCCTCTGCTCGTCCTGCAACTAAAATAAACTTTGTTGCACCAATCGCTCCCATAACATAGTGCACCGATTTCAAAAGAACTTCAGCTTGTGGTGAGACACAAAAGCCAAATCTTGTTATGAATGCATTATTTCAATCAGTGTGATTATTATACCATTTGTTTCTATGACAGCTATACGATAAAGGGAACCGATTTTAATTCAACTTTAGAATATGTTTAAGTATTCAAAAGAACACACAAATACCGAGATTGGCAAACATAAAACATATTTTTATGATTTAATATAAACTTGCTCAGCGTTTCTATTAGACAAACCCTCGGTAAGTGGGCTTGTATCGCCAACTGGAATGGTTCAAAAGTTCTCGGTGTTCATACGGACGAACAGTCGGACAGACCGGCATGTCTAATGGATGGATTCATTTGGCATGCCTCGTTCGCCCCTCAGATGCAGGGTATCAAAATTAAAAGGCAATCACCAATAGACTGGGCTTTTTCCACGCTAACATGTACGTTAATATAGATTTATATGTAAATATGTATGTATCTATCGAGGGTTAGTTACAGTCCAATTAGCATTTCGTAAATGAATACCCAACACCAACTACACATGTAATCCAATCAAATACTGCAAATTGTCATTATTGAACACATCAAAAGAGAGCCTTGATGCCCCGTTCAGGTTTCCAGGGCAGCCGGAGGCAGATTGTGCCACCCCCACTCCCACTGCTATTCGCAAAACCCAGCCCCTGCACCGTTCCCCACAGGTGCACAAATGCCGGCCCGCGCAAATTTATGCAAATGAGTCTGTTCGTCGGTTTTGGATTACACGCCATTGTGCACCATTTGCCTTCCTTTCGGCTGTGCTCTTTTTGCCATTTCAATCAGCGCAGCAATTGCTTCATTGGCTCATTGCTTCATTGCCTCAGTGGCGGAGTGCCGGAGTGGCAGAGTGGCTCAGTAGCTCAGTGGCCGAGCGTGCAATGACGTCTTTTGTCATGTCCATTTGCGTCAACAATTTGTACAAAGCACTCGAGATGGGCAGCCTTTTTGTTACCAACTCTGTTGCAATTGTGGCGTCTACAAGCCCAAAGGCATAATCACCATCATCAGTAACTGGCCAATTTCGCTTTAAGTGGAGACATTCCAGAGGCCCAAGATGGTTATTAAACATTAAAATGTTTTGTTGCCGCATTTCATATTGAGACATTGATGTGATGTACTCGGACTCGGACTAGGACTGGGACTGGGACTGGGAATGGCCATAAGTGTTGTCGGCAACAACAATTGCATTGTGGCACAAAACTGCAGTAGTTTAGTTGCGAGGTAAAGACTTAAAGTGATCACCACACCTATTTATCTAAAAACTTGAAGGGTAGGGCTTCAGGCAAGATTATTCATGCTCGATCATGCTCGATCTCAAGGAGTTTCTCGAAACGGATAAAAGACAGATTGCATTCAATACTTTTTTGATCGAAAAAAATGGTGCACCAAACACAGAAATGCAAAAGAAATATCACGAAGAGTAGAAAAACAAAACAAATATTCGCTAAATTCGATAAACTATCGGGGTCGACGAGTTTCGCGAGGTAAGCGAAGCTGAACAGGGCTCCAATAATTAATAAGTATGTTCTGATATACAAATAATACCTAATTAATTATTACTTTGTAGCGTTTCATGAAACGCATCTCTATTCAAGCCTGATCTTTGATTATCTAGACAAAGCTGGTAATGAACTATTATCTGTTTTGGGAACGATCAGTTTTATTTACAGAATTAGTTTACACACAAACTTTTTCGTTTTATTCAATAAATTGAATCAAAATTAACAAAACAATGAAAGAACCGATTTACAAAAGCGAATGACTTCATTTTCCCATGTATACCACCTTTTTTTGAACCGTATATGCGTTTTAGAATTGTATTTAAAAGTTAATGTTTTGTTAATGTCTGTAGGCGCAATTCAGAGTTGAGGCAAAGCTGCCACTGTATTTTATAACTTGAAACAGATTGTTAAATTGTAGGATTCGGGGGGGAATAACATTTGATTGTTTGCATAAGCAACATTATTTATTATTTATATAGACTTGGGCCTAACCTCTTGTCGGAAGTTTTATAACAAGCGAGGCCTTATCGTGTGAAATTTGCAGATTGTCTCAAAACGAAAATAGCGTGCTTTATCAAAGGCCGGAGGTTCGTTATTGCTGTAACTTTGCCTCTTAATCAGTTACCAAGCAGTAAATCAACTTACTTAGGTATGCAGCTTTTAGATTTCACTTTAAAATACATTAAATGTTACATTAATAAACAACTCAGTGCGACGCCTTCCCCCAAAACTTCTATGGGCTTCAACCAAAATTCAAATGCTGCGGGCGTTCAGGCTCTGCCTGTATGTTGATGGGTGTCTGCGGGGCGGTTCAAACAACAAAACTATTCTGGGACTGCTTCTGTTAGTGTTGTTGTTGTGGCTTCTGCAGTGTGTGCTACTTGTTTTTGTTGTTCCGATTGTTGTAGCTTTTGCCACTTGGTCACAAAGGCAGAGTTGGCTGCTGCCGTCGACGACGACGACTACTGCCACACAACGCAAACATAATTTCAACTTTTCAACCGTAATAAAATAGCGCACAACAACAACAGCAACATCAGCAACATGCACGCCTTCATGCACAATAGTGTGGTACGTGTGGCAGCAACAGAGACAGCAACCAGCAACCAGCCCCCAGAACCCTTCCTGCAAACTACAAACGAAAATATGTAGCACATCATCTATTCAACTGGGTCGTCGCCAAGAACGCTTCTGTGCTTTGGGAGCGAATGGCGGAGGCTGGCCGGACAGCCTGGAGTGGGAGTGGGTGGGGAGTTGAGTGCCGTTCAGACAGTCAAACAGTCAAACAAATTTGAAAAGTTTGACAAATGTTAGCGGCACGTGGAATGCCACGTACGCGTAGCTTCCCATGCCACATCCTATAGCCTTATGAGGGGAAAGGACTCTACTTCGAGTGCTATTAATAATATACCTCTTTTGGAAAGCTGAGGTGTGTTTGGACGACTCCATCAATTTTAAACTAAATGCCTAAATATTCGTACTTGTAGTTGGTTCCGTTTGCAGCGAAATTCCAGAAACACGTAGATAGTTTGCGGAACACAATCGATCAATCACAATGTTCCGAATGTATTTGATCATTCCATCTATTTTTGAATATTTGCAACAAAAACAAACTACTAAGACCACCCATCCAGGTGTATACAATTGTGTTCAAATGTATGTTGTTTGTTAAATGGCAACAAAATAGTAATAATAGAATCGGAAAATAATTTAATTTTTAGAACTGTTGACTCTTTTTGATATTAAACGGTAAGGCAAGCAAGTGGAAAACTAACAAACTTTTAAATAAATTGTAAGAAATTTCTCCACAAACTGGCAGAAAATTGGTCTTCAATGCTAGTTAACAATTTGACAAAATAGTTATGCCAGTTGGGTCTTAAATAAGAAACAATCTTCTATGACTGCTGCGACTGCGTTTTAAACTCTGATTCTAAATAAAAAATGACAAACAAATATACAATATTGAAAACAAGCAGCACAGTCGGTTTGTAATTCTAATTATTATTTTCAGCAAAGAATTGTAAAACAAAAGTCTTGTAACTCCTCCTAAACAGGCCCTTTTCAGTGCCGCCAGCCGCAGTTCCATAGTTCTTCCTGTAGTCAACATTTAAGGGCAAATAATATTCCCCCACCGGGTCGGAGGCGTTAATTAGATATTATTGTAATTTGATTAGATTTCTCCTGTATCAGGATTGGCTTAAAGTCTTTTAAAGTCTGGTACTTGAAGAACGAGCTCGAACAATTGTTGCACAGAGGAGAGTTTGTGTGGGTGTTGGGATGTTGTGCCGTGCCTGAATGCGATGCGGGTCGACGCCCACATTTTGGTGGAATCGGAACTTAATAATATATCAAATTTAAATGCCGTTAAATGGGAAAATAATTAAGCAAGCGCTGTGCATCAGGCAGCGAGAATATTTAACCACCATCATCATTGCGTGATGACGACGATGATGAAGTTGCTGACGGGGAGGGCCTTGATAGCGGCGATCTGCGGGCGTTGGGGCAGGCAATGAATGCTTATATACAAGTATGTTCAGATGTTCAGAAGTTGGGACACGCATGCCTATATGCATGCAATGTATATGGAAACATGCATTTTGCATATTTGACATATTAACTGTCGCTGTTTTTGACAGCGCCAGAGCGCGAGCGAGCGAGAAGGCCGATCAGGGGCCGCAAACGCCCAACGCTTGTAAAACATGCAATAAAATCCACACGAAAAAGGCAAAAAAAAAAAGGCAAAACAAAAATGAAAAAAACTCAAAAACCAACAAACATTGCACTTTTGCATGCATAATTGTGAAAATTAAAATGAAAAGTCCAGACTGGAGGGACAGAGAAAGGGTTTTTCCACACTGGCCGGCAAATGGCTGGGGCTGGGTCGGTCCGGCTGCGTCATGCAAGGGTTGGACGGTTGGGCAGGTGTGAAGCGTGCAGGCACAGGCACAGGTGCAGACTGCAGGCCCTGGTGTTGGATTTCATTAACGTCATAATGACGCTCGACGGTTTTAATCCCGGCTGGGCTTGGGCCTGGGTCTGGGGCCAGGACTGGGGTCTGGAACTAAACGACTTCAGCGCGCGTAACCGCAACAGAGCAGACCAATGTCCGACCGAGCAAACAACCA